TTTGCTTTATTTTTAGAATTCAATAGTTAATAATAATGTTGTTTATACTGTATTTAAATTCTATATTCACTATAAATTGTATATTGATTTGCAAACACGTCTATATTGAAAATCAGCATCAGTTTATCTATTACATGTATAACAATCAATTCAATTCAATTTACTTCAGTGCAATGAAAGTGCAGTGCAATTTAAACACCAATGCAAAAAACTATACTAACTTGTAAGTTAGTAATACTTTTTGCATGTGAACAGTCTTACTGTATAAGTATAATTAAATTTGTATTATTTAAGGAATATTTGATGACATTATATTTAATATTTTGTCCGCTCATCAAATCAATTCATAAAGTTTTGATTATAATAATGTAAATGTGTCTATAATCTAGAGCTAATAGTAATATGTATTTATTAAAAGTTTTGGCACTTTAGATACTTGTAAATGTTAAGCAGAAAATATGCATAGTAAAACCTCCAATTTAGCAACTTTGTCTATGTTAGAATATTCTGTATTAATGGAGAATTTTGTTATATTTTAAATTATAATTTCACATATTTATGTCACGATAATTTACATTTAATGTTATTTCCACTATTTAATTGACACAAAATAAAATAACAATACCGGAAAGTTCTTGCTAAGACTAAACTATCAGTGTTTTGGAGATAATTTTTTAATATTAATATTATTGGCAATATTAATTAGAATAAAATAAAGTAGCTTTAGTTTTTTGAAAATAATATTCATACGTTTTATTGAATGCAAATTTGCATTTTGCAAGTGTTTGTGGTCTTTCATTTGTTGGCTCATTGTTTCATTGAAATTATAATAAATAAAACAATTTCTTAATGTTTTGGTTTGCGAAGGAGTGAACGAAATTTGTTAAATTATTTGGCATTGAATTGAGTGGTCATAAGTAAACAACAATTGACTTCATGGACATTAACTATAACTATAAATAATACATATTTGAATATCTAGTGCCATAAATAGACAAATTATCTTTTATTTATATTTTCGTAAATAATTAGTATGTTTAAGAATTTGTTTGATTCAAAACATACAAACAAATAATTTGATTGATTTTATATTGTCTATTTATAGAATAAAGATATTAAAATTTAAATTCCGGTAAATTAGTTTTAATAAAAATAGAAGTAATGTTAAAAATGTTAAATATTAATAATCTTTAATTAAATTGTATCAAATTTTTGTTGAAAATATATATGAGTTGTTCAACTAAATTTATTAAATTTCATAGCTTAATAAATATTAAAATTGTTGCAAAAATTTAACTAACATTGATTTCCTAATTTATCTAATGATATGTAAATTTGAATTCTAAATATTTTCAAAAATTGCATCTATCATACTGTACTGTATAGCTTTTGAATTTTTATATATTTTGCAGTTACTGTTGATCTTAAAATTGTTAAATTAAATAAATTGATCAAGTAAATCTTTAATTTTTAATATTATATCTTTATAATTAAAATAATAATACTGTAATATTATATGAATATTATAATGCAATAATAGAGTATAGGAAAATTAAAATTGTTAAATTAAATAAATTGATCAAGTAAATCTTTAATTTTTAATATTATATCTTTATAATTAAAATAATAATACTGTAATATTATATGAATATTATAATGCAATAATAGAGTATAGTAAAAAATGAATTAAAATATTAGTAACAAATAAGTTGAATGAAATTTGATGCACTCGACCCATAAAACATTGCGAACAAGTGCTTCAATGGTTGTTACATCTGTCTACAAGTACTTGAATTTAAATATTCACAACTGAATAGCTATCATTTATAGCCTATAAATATTAAGAATTTGTACAAATATTTCAAAATTCTGTACTGTTATATTCAATTTAATATTACAAAATATCTATATAACACAAATTGATTAACTCAAACAAACTTTTTTAAAGTTATATTCATTAAATAACTAGGTTAAATTATAATATTGAAAGTTATTCATAAAATGTATAAAATGGTTTTTATAACTACTGTAGATAGATACATTTTATGCATGCAGTATTATGATTAATAGTAATAATTGTGAAATAAATAAAATTAAGAATAAAATTCTGCATTTGATTTTAGGAATTATTTTGATAGTAAATCTAATTCCAATAAACGTCAAAGATACTGCATAAAAAATTATAAAAATATTTATACATAAAATTAATTAATATAAAAACTTTAAAAGATCTTTGTTTAATTTATAATTTAATTCAATAGACTTTTCATTTTAATAGAATTCAAAATTTACAATAGTGGGTTTAAATCATTTAATAAATAAAGTACTTATATTTTTAATAAATTACTATACCTAGTAGCTTAAAGATAGTACCAGTAGGTTTTAGCAGTCGGTAATACCGGTATCTAAATCTAAACTTTCATATGAGATAATTGAATATGGTACTGCATTATAGAAATGGGTGATATTCTTAATTTTTTGGAATATTACTATTCAATCAAGATTTAGATAATATAAATTTTAAAATTAAAATGAATACAAACAAATTAATTTCTGAAAACATTTATTATTAAAATGTTATTAAATAGATTACAAATTAATATTTATTTAATAAATCAGTTGAAATACAGAACTTAATTAACGACAACACTTGCAAAGTGAGTATATTATGGGAATACATAGCATAGTTTATAGTAAAGTAGAAAATTTGGCAAAAGCTAAGCATTGATTCCCATAATTACACAAAATATACAAAACCATTAATTCCCGGATTGATTATCAATAAAATAAACTAAATAAAAATCTTAAGCTAAATTCAAACAATTAGTCTTCAAAAGTAAATAAATATTAAAATCAAAGAAAAAATCATTTCAATTCAGCAAAAAAATTGCTAAACTGTTTGAAATAGAAAAGAAAAATTGAAAAAAGGAAGTTAATTAAAAAGTCAATTATAAATGGAATGCATTATAAAAATAAAGAGAAAATAAAAATAGATTTAATGAACAGATATTAGTTCGAGACTGTGGTCCACATCATAGACATCCATTGCAGTCGAGTCTTGGTTCTCAATGTCAAGAATGGTTGAAATGCGGCTCCAATTTGGCAAATGTTGGAGCATTTGGAGGGTATACGCGGGCACGTAGTACAGCATCGATGGCATCTTAAAGCCGTTGAACTCAGAGCCCGCACAGATGGTATAGGCGCCCATCTCTTTGAACAGAATCCACTCTCCGATGTGCATCTCAGGCAACACTACATCCCGTTTGATGCAATCCATACTATCACACGTCGGACCCCACAAAGTGGTCAAATGGTTGGCGCGCTCTTCCAAACGGTGGTCAATAGGGAAGGGAATGGGATCGACGACCCAATGATCGAAAATGGTGCAGTTGAACGACCCGTACACACCGTCGTTCAGGTAATACATCATTGCTGTCTGATCCTCCATTTGGACACTCCTTTTGGCGATTATATTAGTGGCTAAAGTGAAGGCAGAGGCCACCTAACCGTACATTCAATACATTAGTCACATATTCACGACTTAACAATAGGACTCTAGACTTACGTAATAACGTCCCGGTTCTGCAATGATAGTAATGTTGGATTCATTTCCCATGGCATCGACACTTGGGAAATGGATGTCCAGTGCACTGCTCACTGCTTTTGCCGTGTCTTCAAAGCTAACTTTGGTGACAGAAGTGCCGGGAAATCCACCGCCTATTCAGACAACACAACGGTTAGTAAAATGTGATTCACGTGAATGTTGAGCAAACAAACCGATGTCAAGGAAAGTCATTTTGAAGCCCAGATCTCGGCCCAAATCAAAGACATACTTTGCATTAGCAATGGCTTCGGTGTAGGCGTCGGCGCTTTCGCAACCGCTGCCCACATGGAAACTGCAACCAATGATATTAACGCCGATATTCTTAGCGGTTTGCAGCAAATGCGGCACTTTGTCGATGTCGGCGCCGAACTTGAGGCCCAACCGACACACGGCGTGACTGTCGTCTACTTTGATGCGTAAAACCATTTTGGCGTTGGGATGAAATTGTCTCACTTTGTAGAGCTCGAGCTCGTTGTCAAAAGTCATTACTTCGACGCCAACGTCTGCCGCATGTCTTATGAATGATTTGGTTTTGCAGGGATTGGCATATATTATACGGTTTGGCGTGACGCCAATATTCATCACCGATTCAATCTCTCCCTGTTCATTCCCAAAATTCACATATCAATCGTGAGACTAATATTCAAATCAATCAAATCTCACTGCATTTGACATACCTTTGAGGCACAGTCGAAGCCAATGCCCAAAGAGGCCAACAGTTCCAACACTATTGGCGTCGGATTGCATTTGACGGCATAATAGGGCTGCACTCGAGGCATATTAAGCAACCATTTCTTATGCTTTCGCAGAATGTCTTGGATGTCAACCACATAGAAGGCATCCTCGCTGTTGTCCTCGAGGATTGTGTCTCTAACGATGTCCTCCACAGTTGGAGTCATTCCGAAATCATGTCCTAACACTGAAGTCTTCATTGTTTCTTTATTTTTAGTGATTAACACAAATCGATAACCAAATTATTAAAAAGTTTCTTAAATAATAGATTGTGAGCGGAGTTTAAATTATAATCAAATCCAGGAAAATATGGTGCAAGTGGTCTGTCATTCATTACAGAATAAGTGCAGAACATCTCCATTAGAATTAATAATTAGATACTAATTGTTTGATGACTTACCCGTCAACTATAGTGTCTGTATATCAGTGCAATTGGTCTCAGCTTTCCCAAGGAGGTGCCCCCTGACACTTGCGGGCTTCAAAGAAATACGCTTCGACTATAATACGGGGAACTTGCGTTCGAAGCCCCTACACATCACACAGTCATACAATTTAATCAAATGGTATTAGTTATTGGTTATAAGATTACTGTTCAATCATATCATAATACAGAATATTATATAAATTCATTAAATAATAACTGATAGTGCTTAAAGTATTG